AACTTGCACAATTGGTGGCTGACTAAATACTTCTTTGCCCCACTGTATGTATTATGGACATATAATGACCGCTAATGGCAAATAATTTTCCTTTTTATATCCAGTATCATTTCTAGATTTTATTGTATATCCCTGATTGGAATATAAGTTATTATTTATAAATAAAAACAGAAGAGTCTAATTATTCCATTTCAACTGCACTCATGCTCACTCACAAGGTCTAATATACCCTTGTATTTACAATTACTAGTTTACAAAGCCATCACTAGCTAGCATGCCCCTAGATGGTGGTGTGCAGAAGGTCTGAAATTGAGGAGGGACAGAGAGAGGACACTTTATTTATTGTAGCCAAAAGCAGCCAGAATTGCTTTGGTCTGAAAAGAAGGTAACTTGGTAACCCATGTCAAGTGATGTTGAAACAGGACCTGGCTTGCTCTAATTTATAGAACTTGTCCTCTAAGAAACAATTTCTGAAACCTGCATTTTTTCTTAGTTTTCAGGTTTGTAACCATTATCAGTTGTGTGTATCAAGCCCAAATCAGAATTTGTTGAACGAAACAGTTAATCTTGTAAGCAAGCAATAATGGCTTTTGGAGCCAGTTCGCTTCCTGATTTCTTTTGTTTCCTTGTACCTCCTTTTTAAGCTGCTATTACATTAGACTTCAATGAAATGTCTAGAAGCTGAAGGGTGTGAGATGCATAAAACCACAGAGTCCTTACTTACCATAAGATACAGTGAGAAAGCCATTGATTTACCATAGTTTCCAACAAATTTAATTGCCATAAACCATAATTTATTTTCTCATTCCCTTCACACACAGTGCTATGAAATCTATATACCTATAGATATCATATAGGTATATGATGATTCTAGAGGATTTTCCTACTGATGTGTGATCCTGTTGATTCCAGTTATGTTAGAATGTACATTACAGTGTGGAAGAAGAAATAATTTAAAGTCCAGCCAAGTTCTGAGTAACTGGGGAAATGAATTTAATGGGACAGGTGCTGTAGCCGTTGCAACACAAAATCAGAGATACTAGTTTTTCCTCCAGTTTCCAAGGGCTGGGTCAGTGTACCCGCAGCAAGTTATTTAAATGGTGATTTGGAAATAGGAGCCATGTCAAACATTGCCAGTTACAAAATGTCACTGTGTCCTTTGTGAGTGACAGGGGGGATCTAGCATTCCCAGAAGAAGATGCTGGAAAGCTGCCATCCTGCTGCCAACCTTGATTCATGAGCATGTACCAGAGTTGTAGTCCTTGTCTCGATAATCTTCCTGAGCAAACAGAATGATTTCTTGCATGGTGATGCAGAGAGTAAATTGAGAGACTATTTTAGCAGTTTTCAAAGGAGATTGTCCTCTTTAATCAGCAGTTTGTTTATTTATAATTGTTTAGAAAGAAACTGCCAGCAACTCAAAAGAAATGCCTGAATGTCATGCTGTGCCTCAGAAACATTCCTCAGAAGCTGTAAAAGAAAAAGGTGATACCGAATGTGGTGCTTTTGAGTTTTCCACAAAAGACAACAGCCCACGAGTAACTATTATGTGCATGACCCATTAAATGAGTGAGAATTTCTTTACAGACATTTCCCGTTTTGAGATGATGATGATGATGATGATGATGATGATGATGATGATGATGATGATGATGATGATGATGAAGATCAAGAAATGATATGATACGATACGATATGATACAATGCCTTGTCTTAAAAGTTATTCCAGAAAATCTGAAATTTCAGTTTGGGAGGCCTCCTGTACAAGTTATTCAAAAGGTGTAAAGTGTTCCTTTTCTGCCAGCCAGCCAGGAACTGGCTATGTAACCTCAACAGTGGAATTGTAATATTTATATTAGGGGTGTTTCAACACTCCCTATCTAGTGATCTGGGCATGGTATCTAAAGACACTGCTTAGAAAGATGATTCAGAAGTGACATGCCACAGGAGAACCCATTAACGTTTAGCTATTACTCAGAGGGGCCTGCAGAGGGGCAAGGGGTGTGATGATATCATCATGCAAATGCTGTGACTTGCATCAGATTTTGGGAGACAAGTATACAATCACAGCATTTTTGTGATGACGTTGCTGTGCGTGTGGCGTTAGTTGTACATACGGCCATTTCTAAGGAGGAGGCCTCCTAGGATGGAGGAGCTGCTTCCTGCTCCCTTTCAAGTGGACACATTGGAAGCCGTTCCCTGTCGGAACTCGAGACATGTGTTGAACAAGGGGAGCTACATCCCCCAGGTAGGTGGTTCTCTATTATCTGACATTTCTGTCCTGTGGAAGCAAAGTGCTTATTTCTATACTTTGGACATTCAGTTCCTGGTTAATTTTTAGCATTATAAATTGCCATATAAATGTGGATTTTAGATCCATGATACAGCAAAACATAAGACAAGTTATTCCCTGAAGTTTATCTAGGTTGTCATAGAAGTAAAAATGATGGGGTGTGCAGCAAGTGGAAGCCAGGCTTGTGCCGTTCAGAGGAAGTCAACAGATTACGCTGTTGCTAAAAATGATTATGTAAGCATTTAATATAAGTTGGGTTTCTTGAATTTCTTTCCTGCAGATGAAATTATTGGCAGAGGGGATATTTCTAACACTTCAGGTCTGGAATCCAGTTTGAATCCTGTTGAGGCAAGCAATCTGGTCAGTGTCAGTCACTCATTTGAAAGTTGCTTGTGTGTGGTTCAGATGATCAGCATGTTTTGCCCAACTGTAACAATAATACAAAATGGCAAAAAAGACAAAAAAACCCAGACCAACAAACAATTCAGTAGTGCTTTTCTTGGTAATCAAGATAATAGCTATGTTGCAGATGATTCTTAGATCAAAATCCTTAACAGCTTAGTCCCTAACTGAATCTGAAGGAGGGAAAAAAAAAAAAAAATTCCTTCTACTGTAAAAAATTGGCCTTTTTGAGTAGATGTGAAGCATGTCAAACTCAAAACAAAGTGTTTTAAACTTGGAACACTTCTCTTTTTAACTCAAGCCACTTCCAAAATACTCAGGATAGCCTGTTTCATGCTAAAGACTTCAATTTCTTACTCAAAACAGGGCATTTTTTGAAAAATCATGAAATATTTTACATACCCTAGAGACTAACAACCACCTTTTTATGTGCCACCAAATAGACATATAAGTTTTCAGTGATGCTAACCTGAAAAAAGCTTAGATCACAATAACTCTGTTAGCTCTTTAATGTTTCTCAAACCTCTTCATCCTTTCTATATTTGCTTTAGAGGGTATCTTGAAGTGGCTTAATAACAAATAATACTCTTTTGGCTTGTTTAGGTACAGCAGCAAGCAATAGTTAAACGAAAAAGAGGAAGACCTCGTAAATATCCTGTTGAAATAGTAGCAGTGCAGAGTAAGTATGATGACATCCCTTCCTAAAAAATAGACTTGAGTGTTTCATTGAACTCAGGGGATTTATTCTTTCCTTCCAGGTGAAGATTCAGCAGTGGACACAGTCATGAGGAATGTAAGCATTTGGCTGGGGTGTTTCAGTTGCATGCCGAGGTTGTGGGAGTATTGTCTTTCTGTGGAACTTATTTGTATATTGTTTGTTTGGTAAAAAAAACATTGGTGGGAGCTAGAAGATGATTACAGTCAATCTAATATCAATAGTGGCCCCTGCCCTTTGGAACACCCTTCCTCTGAGATCTGGCAGGTCCCTACCCTCCTGGCCTTCTGAAAAGCCTTGAAGATCTGACTTTTCCCAGAAGTCCTGGGGTAGTGTGGCTGGAGCCCAAGAAGGTTGCTTGTTGGATGTGAGGGGTGTGTTGCTTTTGGAGGCACTGGGAGTTTTTGTGCTGGTTTGTATGCTTTTTATTTTTATTATTCTTATTTGTAAGCTGTCCAAGGTTATAATACATTAGGTGAGCAGCTATATAATTGTTTTTTAAAATAAATAAAAGATTATTCCTTCAACCTCTAAGCTTTACATTTGTTTTCTCTTGTGCAGTGGCCTGCACAGTTTATTTATTTACTATATTTGAATGCTGCTCATTCCTGAAAGCTCTAAGTAGCTAACAATCAGAAACATCATTTAAAAAATCATCAATATAAATGAATTGACCCCCAAATAATAAAAATCTCAATGGTATCATTAAAAGAAAAAGTCATATGTCCCCTAATGCACATCGGCATTCAAAGCATGCCTTTCTCCTGGGCTAGATGGAAAAATCAGGTCCAACTTGCATTCCTGAAACCCAGCAGGGAAGAGGTAGATCAAGGGGTAGGTGCAGATGAGGGCAGCACAAGGGTAAATGATTTATTGAATCCCCAGGATCTGATACTCCGTAGCAGGGCTCCTCAGGAGAAAAAACAGCAGAAACGACTTATAGGAGTGACTTGCAACCTTCCCTGCCAGCTTCCCTCTTGATTTTGCTTGTGGCAAGCTGGCAGGGAAGGTTGCAAATAGTGATCATGTGACCGTGGGACACTGCAACCAGTCGTAAGTGCAAGCTGGTTGCCAAGTGCCTGAATTACAATCACATGACCATGGGGGTGCTGCGATGGTCGGAACTTCGAGGACCGGTTGTAAATCTCCTTTTCCAACGCCATCGTAACTTTGAACAGTCGCTGAATGAATGGTCGTAACCCAAGGACTACCTGTAGAAGGGGGAAAAAAGATGAAAGATGGCAAAAGTGACAGACTGGATGGAATGAAGCGAGAGGTCTCACTCTCCCTTGCCAAAGGCCTGAGCGAAGAGCCAGATCTTCACAGCAGCAAAGTGGAGGCCATCCGGATCTCAGGGGAAACCTCATTCCAGAGGGCAGGTGCTGCTACATAGAAGATGTGCTTCCAGGGTCTCGATAGATGGCATTGTAGAATTGAGGGAACCCAGAGCACGCCAACCCTGCCAGATCCAACTGGCTGGACAGATGCTATGGGAGACAGGTGGTCCCTCAAGTAACCAGGCCCTATGCTACGTAGGCCTTTAAGTAGATAAACGGTGTATAAATAAATAAAATAAAATTACGCTCTTTTTTTTTCCAGAAGTATGAAAAATATTTCCTTTTGAACCTTCAAGCACAAAACTGGAGAACCTTTTATTCTGAATGTGAAGCAGGTTGTTTTGAGTATTTGGGAAATATTTCAAGCTCAAAACAGCTATTTTGAATTCAGAAAAAAATTTCAGAGTGCTCAGAACAGCCCATTTGATTTTTGAAGTGCCAGTTCCACATTCAGAGTGAGAGTTTCACAAGGTTTCACACTCTGAATTCCTTAAATAGAAATGTTTTGGACAACTCCTATTTTTGTACCAGTCTATCATTCATGCAGATTAATTATCTTGAAATAACATAGCTAATTCTAAACTATTTTCATGCAGATGATTTTTTTAATATTTTAACATAGAACAAACAAAGGCTGGTAAACCTAATAAAGATGTTGTATTAATTTTTTTTAAAGCATATATAAATTAGCTCATACATTTCTTTGTACTATTTATTATTACTGATTGGTAACTGACTCCACTGAAAAGCTTTTTTGTCAGAATTAATATGGAAGTTCTCTACTTGGTGCTCTGAAACCTATCCACATATGCATCTCATCAAATAATGAGCATGCTGTCAAGAACAAACTAAAATTAAGGGCCATGTCAGTGTTTTTTCCCAGTTGGGTAGTTATAACTCATGTTATACATAATTTATATCAGCTGCATTTGTGTAATATGTTTCAAAAACTTTAACAATTTTATATTTATACTTCCAAGCAATCTCTATACTTGCCTTGTACATCAGGATCAGGGTTATCCCTATTCAGGATAGATGGATACGGCTGCTGAAAGCCGAATCGTGAGGCTGTAGTTCAGATGCAGTGTAATCTGCCGGCTTCCTGGCTCTTAATCTTTGTCTCCATGCTGTACTGTACTGTATTTTGTTTCACATATAAAACTATCAAGAAAGTGTCAAAACTGATTGCAGTTTTTAATATTCTGATTGATGACCCATTCTGTGTACAAAAAATGTTTTACAGTATATTCTAAAAATGCAAGCCATGACAAAAATGTATTTAAAAGATTGTATGTTTGTGTGTGTATGGCACCGATAAACCCATTGTAGAACCATGATCAGCTATGGAGAAGTTTCTTTGAAAAACCCAGCTTTGTTCATGCATGAAATGGCTCAATTGTAAAAGATATTGCATATTGTGTTACTTTGGGTTTGCATTAATTGCAGTAGTTGGGCTACTTCCTCAGTGTTTAAATAACTTCTGAGAGGACAGGACAGGATAGCATGAGTTTGTTCAAATACAAAGAAATGCCTGAAAGGAACATTTGAATACATTAAATATGTTTAATTTTTCTAATGAAAATATGGCTGTTTTTCTTAATTAGGTACTGCAGTCTTCAGGCACCAGCAGTAGGCCAATGATTATACCAAAAGGTAATGATTCCAACATCTGTTTAGCATGAAAAATAGATGGGATAAAATGCATCTGCCTTTTTTTTCTTTAAAGACTTGCTACTCCAACAATTTGGCTGTAATGTTTACAAAGTTTTCTTGTCCGGAGATCCATGGTGGTTCTAATACATGTGAAATCCCCTCCCAAGCTTAGTAAAATTTGTTGTGTAATTCTGTGGTTTCCGTGGGCCTAATCTGTTGATTTTTGTGAGCAGGGCATAGCAAGGGAACCTGGTGGCATGGCTCCCTTCCATACTGCCCCAGGAATGCTCAAAGATTGGCACTATTAGAAACAGTAACCCCAATTGATTGTTTGGATTTCTGAACTACCAGATAGCATAACTCATGGTGGTGTGTAGTAGTAAATAAAACAGTACACAGAATTCAGTAATAAAATAAATGAAACACTGATCTTCCATAAAACAAAAAACCTCAGTAAAAAAAATACTGAAAGATAATTGACTCCCACCCACCCTTTCTAGAATGCTACAGGTTTCAAAACCCAAGAAGGCACATTTCCAAGAGGACAGCATTCCCGCCCTTGTTCAGCCATGTGCCAGATCTGCTTGTTCATCCATCACTAAGCCATAGGTGAAAACAGTCTTGTTACAGAAGGACCTGACATTTACCAGCAGTGGCTGGAGAGCAAAGTCACCAGCAATTAATCTTTTCATTTGATATCCAGCTCCTAAAATTAATACCCAGCCTCATAAAATTATATAGAATTCTGATTTTCAAGGAGAATGAAGTCATTCCATCTTACCATTGTCTGTCATCTCTGCCACAGTTTACATTTGCCTTTAGTATATTGTAGTAAGTTTAGGAGGAACAGCATGCAAGGAGAGGCTTTCTTTTAGTTAATTAAGTTTAACATTTTTTGGTTCAACTTTAACATCTTGATAAAAGTACATTCTTAATTATTTTTTTCTTTTTACAGTAAAGGATTTATTGAATAATAGACGCAATGTAAGTTGAAGAATTTTTAATTCATGTTGTTTTCCAACCTAATTCTAAATATATTTACAGAATTATAAGGCCTTTGTGGAACTGCTTTTTTTACTTCCAATTGTTAGGAAGCTGAAAAAGAGAAGACAGAGGTGGTTGTGCGGTTAAGAGGAAGGAAACCGAAACGGCCTCGTATTTCATCAGAGGAAACAGGTAGACAGAGAACCTCCTCTGCTTCTCTTAACTTTTCATTGTTTAAGATGTCTATTAACTTGTAAAGAGATCAGCTTTATTCATTGGGAGGAAAATCATTGGGTTATAGCTAAAGTAAATATTATGGGAAAATGTGCAAATCACTGTAATTTCATGTCAAGATTGGTACATCCCAGCTGCTTCCCTAAATCCGCTTGAGTTTTCTATGAATTTTGTCTGTGAAAGAAAAAAGTAAACTATCACAAATGTGTTTGGAGAGATTTAAACAAAAATGAATTAAAACATAAAGGAACGGAAAATTACTTTTTCCATTTACAAGATCCATGTAGAATACCCTTTCTTAAAATTTAAAAAACAGCTGTCTTTTTCAGAGGCATGAGTGGATCTTTGATACTGTGAATGACATTTTGCAGGAACAAACACACTTGAGCCATCTAAAAAACGTCAGAAGCTAGGACCAGCCTCTGAAGAAGAAGTCAAGGGCCAGGATGAAGGCAAGGAGAAAGGGGACAGTGGAGGAAACGGTGGTGAAACAGATGGAGATGACATGCATTCAGGAGCCACGACTAGGTCAGCATCAAGATTAGAAGCAGAAAGGTAATGCCAGCTCTGCCAAGGCTTGGCAAATGTTTCAAAGGGACTTGCCAGTAGTATGTGGAGGGCTGTTGTGGGGATTAAGCAGAAAAAAACTTAAGGCTGGTTTTTTGTGCAATCATTGGGGTGTTTGTCTCAAATCCAATGAAGTTCCCAGCTGATAATGAAACATTTCTAGCTACAGTTACCATGTGAACAGGGATGTCCATGGAGTGGCAGGGGGTAAATAGTTAAAATGGCAGCCACAACCACGTAGTTGAAGACCCAGCCTTTTTTGTATGTGTCACATGTAAAAAAGGGAGTGGGGCTTTCATTGCATGGTTATGGTTGTTATCTTGACTTTTTCGACCCCTTTCCTGTGGACATCCTGGCGTGTGAATATCCAGGAATAAGGTTGGAACCACCCCCAAACCTGCAAGTTTGGTGCATAAAGGAAGTGTGGCAGGTGCCTATTGAATCAAAGGTCATACAGTGATGCAGCCAGTATGTCTCCAACTTAGGCAGAGTAAACTAAAATCTCTTTGGTTTCCTCTGATCAAAAAGTGATCCAGATCACAAGTCAGAACTTCTGTCACACAAAGTCAGATGATAGAGACTAACAAGGGGACTGGGCATCACCAGCACATAGGCAGAAATCTAACTCTATTGCTTCATCCAGCAATTTCATGTAGATTTTAAATAGCATCAAGAATAAGGCTATTCTTAGTGTCATGTAAGCAGAGCTGTGGTCTCCCATCTTTCTTAAAAATCTGCATTTCATAAGGACTGAAGCTACTACCCAATGATGCCCCATATATTATACTTCCCTCTCCACTATCAACAGAAATCATCCTCAAGAGCCACTAAAATCTTAGCTCCAAAGTCAGTCTGGAAACCAGATAGGAAACAATCCAGAAGAACTTTTGGAATCAGGAAAAACTTAGAATAGGACAATATGGGGCTACATCAGCTTCATGTATTTACTGTACACGAGGAGGCTCATTACCAGCCATCATGAGGCGTGCTTGCTTGTTTGCCATTCATGACACCAAACTACCAGTTGTCCTGCTGCTTTTTAGTCACATTCCGATGATAGATGTGATGTCTTAGGTAATTGACACTCCACTTCAGAAACCTCCTCAGTATCCTTGAGCTAGACGTAAAATAAGAGGGGTTCATTTCGTTCTGAATGGTCAATGTAAAATGTTGTCTACCAAAAATGTCTACCTAAAAGCACCACGTTACTGTTTTGTTTAGCACCCAAGAGACCCAGAAGTGAGCACACCTACCCATCCTCCCCTGTGTTCTTTGCGCTTTACAGTGTCAACCTCCCTCTCTCTCTCCTATTGAGATCAGAGGTTTGATAAGTAAGAGTGTGGGAACGTTTAGCATAGCTTTTTTATTTTATTTAAATTTATTTTATTTGAATTTTATTAGCAAGCTAATAAATTTATTATTAGCCAGCGGACTTCATATGACTGCCCATTTTGTGAGACGCAATTCTGGGCAGCTAACAGCAGTAATGAAAACACAACAAGCAAACAAACAAACAACAAACAAGAAAAATCCGGTGCCCAATCCAACAACATCCATCTAACTACAGACTCTCCTGAGTTCCAATTCTTGGGATTAGGGTTTTAATTGGTCATCTTAACTGATCCTAGAAGAGGCCCTACTTCAGTGTTTGTGCTATTTTTTTTCAGGAAGCAGCCAAACAAGCCAACAACCCGAGCCGCATCCAAAAGTCAGAATCCAGCCCCAGCTCTTCCTAAAAATCGCCGGAAATTAGAGAAGAAGCCATCATCTGCCACTGCAAAAGCAAACAAAACTCGTTTGGCCCAGTAAGTAGAAATGAAAGTAACTTGAGATTCCCCTCCTCCCTCTTGCTTCGATCATTACCATTCAGAGTGATGCCACCGTGGTGGTGGGCTGATTGCAGGGAACGCATTTTCTTCTTCTTTCCGCTATGCTTTAGAAGCATCTGGCTGGCCATGACTGGAAATCAGATATGATCTGGCAGGGGGCTTCTCTGTTACTGTACTTGGTGGCACTTTATGGATTAAAAGATAGCTTCCAGAATTTTGAGGGGAACACTGGGAAATAATCTTTTATCGTGTTTATTTTTCATTCATGTGAATATATGAACAACTATTTTGCTTCAGTATAGTTTACGTACTTTTGTAATATCATAGATGTGTCACTGGAATTCAGCAGCTTCAAAACCCAAAAATGTCCAGGTCTATATTTGTCTGGAACAGCCTTAAGTGGTGGAAACCAATATGAACAACCAGGTGGCGGTCCAAAATCCACTTCAAGATGAGTTGATGGTATTGGCCCCAGGAATGGCTGGACACCCAGGCAGGTTTGGAAGAGGGAATATGGAAGGAAGGAAGTTCCTCATACTAGCCAGAAACACAGGAAAGATCAATAGGAACAGGAGATAACTGTTACAGGACAGAAGTATCTCATGACTCAGCCAGGAACCAAATAGTGGCGTGAACCGTTAGTGCCTTGGGGGGACCAGCTGCAGGAATGGTGTAGAGGGCGCTGTTTAATAAGTGTCCCTGAGGCTGATGCGCGTGCACAGTATCTTTCATTTTAGTCCACAAAGATTCTCAAATTCCTCTTCAGGAAGAAGGATCCTAGCTTTCTACCTTACAAATACTGGTCCAGAAGAAAGACAGTAGGGGGTGGGGGGGAGAGAAGAGAAACATGCTTTCTTATTCTACATCTTTGTTCAAGACAGGAAAACTGATGTTGCCCTGTGGGAGCTATCCCACTTTTCTGCCAATAAATGAGACCCAAGATGACTGCAAATAAAAATTAAAAACATTTAAGTGAAATATAATCCCTTTCATGAAAATGCCAAAACAGCAGCCCTCACTCAGTAGCCAAAAGCTACTTGCATATCAAATAAAAATGCTTTTGGCTGTCAGCAGAAGCGTAAGAGGACTTGAGATAGTCCTACCCTCTTTGGCAGGGAGTTCCAGGGTCTGGAGGACTGAGAGACTCTGCAATGTTAAATGTGGTGGGACAAGCAGACCCAAGCAGGCTGGTACTTTTGTAACTTAATTCCAGCGTCCTGTACTTTGGGATGCTTTGGGCTTTCTGTGTGACTTCTGTACAGGTATTTGAAGATTTATCCTCAGATTCCCCTTCTGTTTCTCTTTAAGGCTAAACATGCCTAGCTTCTTCAGTGTCTCCTCATGGGAATTAGTTCTGATCCTCTAATCGTCCTTGTTGCTCTCCTCTAAATCCGTTCCTGTTTGAATCCTGTTATAATATGGTGCTCAGAACTGGACAAGGACTCCAAGCGGGGAGCGGAGGGGGGGTTAACCAGTACAATTAAGGTGCAATTATAATTTCTTTTTACTTTGGAAATTAATACCTTTACTGCTGCAGCCCAAGAGTGGATTTACCTTTTTTACAGGATCTATTGAATATAAACAAAAGACGTCTACTTGCCTGCAAGGCACTTAACAATCTAAATTTAATTGTTGTGTTCATTGGACTAAAGAGGAGATCTAGATGGAAGCATCCCCAGGATATGCACCACCCAGTCTCTTCCAATTGAGGCAGTTGATAAATACAATAAGCCAGTGAGCAAGCATAACCATAGTTATATGACATACAGTTTTATTTAGTTGGAAAATGGAAGCTGGAACATTTAAGTAGAACCCTCATGGAAGAACTCAGTTTTTTATAGGGATCCGGAGGTCAAGGAGGCCTGGTGAGAAGGGTAGAGGGAGGCATCCAAACGTTTGGTCGACGGCTCCTCTTGGTCCAGCCAGCCAGCCTGACCAAGGCCAGCGTGGTAGGGTCTAGAAATGGAGATTTCCAGAGTTCCGTCTCTTGGTCGTGAATCATATATGGGTCGCCACAGTACAAATGAGAGAATGGAGGGGAGTCGAGATGGCCAGGGACAGATTCCAGTGTAAGTGGCAGCAGATGCTTTTCCAAAGAGGCTCTTGGTGATGAGCAGCAGCTCTGCCACCCTCCTCCATAAGGCATCCCAACAGGGGAGCGGAAGAGCAGCTAGGCGCCACATTCTCTTGCTTCCCAACTTAGCCAGCAATGGAATAATTGTGAGTCTTCCTCCCAAAGCAGGGTATGTGTGTGGTTTTGACAGTGTAACTGGATTCTGTGCCTGCTAACATTAATCACCATTTTCTTTGTTTTGATATTTTCAGTTCAAAATTTCAGCCCACCAAGCGCAAAAGGGAAGCAAGTCCCCCAGTGTCACACAAGAAGGATCATCAGAGAGATGAGACTGACTTGAAAAAGTCTAAGCGGTAGTTGGAGCCCATGTCAATGGGGATGCGGGGTGGGAGAGGACTTTCCCTGCTCTGTAAAGCTTGGGGGGGGGGTTGCATGTGTTTATTTCTAAGGTGTAACTTATAATGCATATGTAATATTCTAAACAGCTTTATAAACTATTTGTTTATGCAGAAGATGGTATGCATTAGAGAAGGTTACTTTGTGTCCTGGGGGAATTTGCTGATGCTTCCAATCCACTCTTCACTAGTGGCCTCTTAACACCTTTTGTATATACATCATTTATTTAAAAAAAAGATTGTATTTTACTGTGTATGAACTTAATGGGAACACTTTATTGAACAGCAAGAACTGGTATAATATCCTCTTATGTTAATTGTTTTAACTGGATTATTAAATGTTGTGCTGCCATGGTTAGCACTGGGTAGGACCAGGAGAAAAGCGGGAAGCTCTTTTTCAACAAAACTGACAGATCTCTGCTGATTGGGCTCAGTACTTTCTCGCCATATTCGAGTCAAGTAGGTGGGCATAAGGAGAGCTTTGTTCCTTCCTTGTTGTGTTTGTAACTTTCTCTATGCTAAGAGTTAAAAGTGGCATTTACAGTGTTGAGTTCAACGTGCCCTTTCCCTTGGAAATGTATTCTCACTTGTAAAATTTCTCCCAGTGTCCCAGCTAGAATGCACTTTCATCTGAGGGGCAAATCACCTCCATGTGGAGCTCTTAATTGTTCTTCTCCCAGTGCTTTTCTTTCTCCATGGAAACACTGAAATCAAGAGGACTTAAAAGATCAGCAGTGTGTCATTCTGCACCATTTATCTTATACTTTATCCACTAGTATTAAAGAGAGCATAGAACCTGGTCAGTTGTCCAAAATCTTAGTAGACTTGCATTTTACTCTCTCAAGAACAAATCTTCAATTTGAGTTCCATGTAAAGCTTTTTTATTGTTATCAGCATTTGTCTCTTGAAAGGATGTAAGTTGCCAAATACTCTGAGATTATTTTAAAATGTTCATATTCATCTTTTATAACTAAAATCAGCATTGATTTTTTAATTGTTTCTTTTGTTTGGGGGTCTTCTGTTGTACTGTGGAATTTTCTGTCAAATATTCTACTTTGTTTCTTATTAAATTTTTATATATAAATTATAAAACATTTCCAAAACTAGAGTCTCGGTATTTGAATTGCTATATTAATTTTTACTGTGTATTTGTCTTCTACACTCAAAGGGCGTCATCCCAAAACATTTCTGAGTCTATTGATATTTATGCAAGTCAAGCCCAAACAGAAATCTCTGACGCTCTGAGCTAGAGGCAGAGCTAAGATGGCGACGGAGCAGCAGCTTTCCAGCTGAGCTCCTGAGGATATTTTATTTTATTTTACAAATAAAATGGCTGTCCATTTTTATAAACAGCCTAGCTATACATCTTAATTTTTATCTAGCTTTATTCCATAAACACATTCTCCGCAAGAGATATTCTAAAACTGAACACCAAGTTCTTAAAACATCCCACAGGCTTCAGTTGCGATACGTCGACAGTGAAGCAATGGGGAAGAACAAGAAATGCAACCAGACAAGTCCAGGTTCTCAGACTCCCCTCAAGCCCCCAAAGCAGCCAAAAATTGATGACTGCATGATGGACAAGAAACCTGTGAGTAAAAATAATAAGAAAATAAACCCTCTCTATTCCATCCCTACCTCCAATAGTTATGATATACCGAACTGGGATTTGGAAACAGAAATTGAAAAACCACCAATATGAGAACTGTCCTCCCCTTTGCATGAGGAATCGAACCAGCTGACTGAACCCTTGCCTTTATTCCCCCCCCCCCAGCCTTAACTACATCTCTGATGGGGAAGAGCAAGTCAAGCAATCGCCAAAGGAATTCACCACAGGTTTCGCTGCCAGAAAATGCTTATTAATTGCACAAACTGTAATTTCAGTGGTTGAATATTTAATCTCTATAAACACAAAGGTGGACTCTAAAAACAGCCTTTGAAACTGTAGTGCAAAGTTGTATAGATAAGCTAGCAGCTTTTACAGTAATTCAAAACACTGGCCCCAATTCTGATCTGTTTATGGGCAACCAAAGGAAAGTAAATTGCTCAGAAGAACAACTTCACATTAAAAAGGACAACCAAACACAGGCAGAGCTTACAGCCTCACTTTCTACCAAAGAGATAAATCCAAATAAGCATAGCCACACATTTTGAACAAATCAAGTTGCTCTAAGGATTACACTCAACAGATTTAACGTTGGACACTGGTCTGCCAGAAGAGCTATCCTCCTATCACTTAGCTCACTTCTTTGATGCCACTGTCATATGATAGATCTAAGTACTGTTGAATGGCTTCCTAGCATGATAGAACATAAATTATATTGTCTCTTAACCATTCCCTGCATTCTGTTCAAAATGAAATTTTTTCTTTCCACTTTTCAAATATATCCACTGCACATTTTCTGACATGAAAAAAAATTGGTTTAACATCCCAAACAGAAACTCCCCTGCCTCATGCCATGGGTAGTATGCCAAAACCACAGCAACCTAGCACCTTAGCATCCTTGACAAGACACTGCTCAAATAATCACACTGAGATGATGCAAGAAAGAATTGTCACTGATGAAGCTGTAGGAACAGGGTTAATTAACTCTTTTGAAGCCTTACTGAGCTGCAAGCAAGAAGAAATCTGAGATGATTGGATGAATTGAAACAAACACTGCTGCTAACCTGAGCAGCAGCCAAACCTTAATTGACTTGATATCTTTAGACCTCTCTGACAGCAACTCTGCAGAAAATTATTACAAACTCTCTGAATCCTGTAGTCAAACAACTCTGCCAAAGAAGGAAAACCTACACCCCAGCAAGTCCACATGTTCTGTTCTAAAACAGCACAAATTAATTCCATCTTGTTCTGTTTCAGATAATGACAGTTTGTTTCATTCTGTACTATCTGAGGGCCTAGATCAGAAAAGAGGACAAAAGGAAGTTGCTGTATCAAGAGTATGTTTGCTGTACCAAGATCTCCAGGTCGCAAATCCAGCCAGGCCCAGAGATAGCAAACTAATTGATAGTGCAAAGTTGCTGCCTGCTAGTGATTCCCATTCTGATGAGAACACCACCACAACATCATCATTATGTCTTCTTCCACTTAGACAAGAACGTAACACTCTGAGCCCAGCAACTTAACGGCACTTTGTGTTGGATTGGGCTCATGAAACAGAAATTATAACAAGGGTCAATCATGTTCACAAGGAGGTCTGTAGGATATGAACAAAAGTCAAAATAGTGGCCATGACAGTTCAGTCAAAGCCTGGCCTGATCTTTATGTGTGAAGCTTCAACTACATCATTGTGGCTGCCATCTTGACCTTTTTGACCATACCCTGTGGACACCCCTGCATGTTCAAATAGGAGCTCTTAATCCTTCTGTATTCTTAATCATACTGAATCATGGCAGATTAAAGCAGTTATCAATTTGATGGAGAGCTATGCACATTTTTTCTTTAATTCCAGCTTCTTGGGTACAGAAAGACTCAAAGAAGGGACGCCTTCAATTGACTTTCATAGTTGTTGCTGCAGCAGAGCCTTGCATGGTACAAAGGCAGAAAATACGGCAAGGTGTCATAGCTGCAAAAACACAGTCTCCCCCCTCCCTCCAAATTGTGAAGCATTGCTTTCTGGTGCAAACTCTTGGGGACACAAGCTCTGTGCTTTCTCACATAGCTGCGTGGATGGCAGGGGAAGGGAGCAGCCCAGGCGGCACTTGGATCCCCTTTCTGCACCGAAAAGCCTTCCACAGAGTTGTCACCTTCTTTTACACAGAAAGTTAATTATCTGATATTCATTAGCACTCCCTCTCTGGCTGTCATAGTTGAATCACGTTAATCCCTTTATCATTACAACCATTAGCCATCAAATGTGGGTGTCACCTGTTTGGCTCTTTGACTTGATAGCTACAGTGGGGCAAAAAAGTATTTAGTCAGCCACCAATTGTGCAAGTTCTCCCACTTAAAAAGATGAAAGAGGCCTGTAAT